AGAGTTTTTGAGCGATGAGGGCGCGACACATGAGACGGCAATAGTGCGGGTCGAGAATACTGGGCGCAGACACGGGGTGGGCACTTTGCCAATTATTCATTATTGTCATTATTTGTTATTATTATTAATATTTGTTATTGTTTATTATTATTGCTAATATTTATTATTGTTATTATTTATTATTATTGTTATATATATAAAAATTTTCAGTCTCAAGTGAAAAGCGTGCTAACGAGACGTCTCAACGGAGTTTTAGTGGAAAATCGTGATGTTGTAATGAATGGTAATGTGAAGACGAATGGATTGGACAGTGTCAATAATAATAATAAAGCAACGGTCGTGAACGGTAACGTGAGGATTCAGAACGGAGAGATTTCGGTGAGATTGGCGAAATTTCGTTCGTGTTTGATGTCGTTTTTGTTGAGTCGTGATTTTTTCGAGGTGTTAAGGAAAGGGTGCGGTCATTTCGCCAAAATGGCGGTGCGGTCAGTACGCCAAAAATTATCGTAGAATATTTGTCGTTGTTTTTTATTATTATTGCTTATTTTTGTTGCTTGTCAGAGAGAAACTCCAAGCAGTTCGACAGCGTACTCGTCTACAGCCGAAGAGGTGGTTGCCGCGGTTGCAGCCGGATTCACATCGTCATCGCTTGGCAATGGCCACGCCCCTTCCACTTCCGGAGGCCCCGCCCATCAACAGAACGGTACCGCAGCGATTGTTGTGAAAAGCGGCAGTGAACTGAGAATGGGTGCCGTTGGCGCTCCTGGTCCCGGACCCGGTGGCTCCGCCTCCTCCGTTGCAGCCGTTCCAGCGGCGAGCGGCGGCACTGTCATGATCAATTCAGTGCCGGTTTCAGTGTGCGGCGCGCCACCCGGTGCCACCGTTGTGCTGGTGGTCAATCAACCGCAGCCGCCCGCGCAAGTGGCTGGCCCCGCCTCCCAACCACAGGCCCCGCCTCCTACCACATCAGCCGCAGCCACCGCGTCAACGTCCTCCACGTCGTCGCCGCATCCGCCTACCGCTACGCAGGCTGCTGCACCGCACGTGACGCGTCGTTCGTCGGGCGCCGCTTCGCACAGGCAACCGGCCGTGCCGCTGACGCCGTCGCAACTGGCCGCGAAGCGTAAGCGCACCGCGGCCATCGTGGAAGCGGTCGCGTCGGGACGCACCACTTCATCGATCGTCATACCTCAGCCAAAAACGTCCATCAGCGCCAACGCAAAGCCATCAT